CCCCCCCCCTTGTCCTGCTGCTACTCTAGTTACCTGCCTTCTGGGAGACCAGAGTCAGCAGTCTGTCCTGCCCCGTTACTTGGCTTTCTCTCTCACCAACAGCCCCCTAGGTCTTGGCTCGTTCCATTTGGGCTGACCTCATGGTCACCGATCTCTCACTTGTCCTCTAGTGGCCCAAGTGAGGCAATGTCAGGCCCACCCTTGTACACAGATGATACAAAAGTGAAAACGTCCTTCCCCCGTCAGTAATCCCGAGCCCTCTGTGGGGCAGGATCCCAAACACTGATTTATGTAATTTCTACTTCTTCCTTTGTAGCGAGCATAAACCACTGGGTAAGTGACGATCACAAACATAGATTTAAACTGCTCATCAGCCATCACCAACAGGCCAACAATAAAGACAAAAAGATGTTTGTTTACAACTGGACTGTGGGTCCTTACCATGGAAACCCTACAAATGCCCTGTAGGTAAGACAGAAGCGTGGCTCTGCCAGACCTGTGTTTCAGAAGACGAGGAAATGAAATTAAAATAAACATATGATTGCAAGGCTTCTTGCCCAGTGTCTTAATAGAGGATTTTTCTGTTTGCTCCCCTCCTCCTTTCTCTTCGGAGAGCTCAGAGGCAGGGGAAGGGAGAGGTGCGAAGATCCTGAGGACAGTCAGAAAAACTGGGAAGGCAGTGAGAAAGGAGAGTGCGGATGGAGTGCTGGGGAGCCAAGGAGGAGGCAAGAGGAAGAGGAGAGGGACCGATGAGAAACCACGCTGGAGGAGAGAGGTCTCCTACTTTAAGAACTGGAAGCAAAATTAAAATGTTTCACAATAAATGAAGCCAACTGCTGGACGACCCACACGCGGACCATCACGTCAGACTGCACGCCAGCCGCCTCCCCTGCACAACAGCACGTAAGCGCCACGGGGTGAGAGCCGAAGGCCGGCGAGTGGGAGAGCGGCGGGGCCTGAGCAGCCACAAGGCGCCACCCCGGGAGCAGCCCTGCCTGCTAGGGGCGGAAAGTTTCTGCAACAGCTTTTCTAATCAATAGTAAATAAATGCACTGCATTTGGCTTTTCTGCCTCTGCTCTCAGCTATTCACTTAAAGGGTCTCCCCACAAAAGGTCCTTGTGGGAGCCACCTCTAGACAGAAAACAGGCATGGTGTCTCGAACGTCATGGTTATGACAGAAAAGTAGATAATTCTAACTCTCTAACTAATCTAATCATGTGAGCAATGAAAAAATAAAAAAGAATTTTACAATTCAACATTTCAGTTTTGAAAAATGCTTCTTATAAAAGCCTTAATCTCTTTGTGACTCAAGGCTCCTCATGCCCAAATCCAGGCTCTAGCTGATTTTCAGATCCTTGACGGGAGAGACTGGGTCTTGGAGCTTGTAGTCTCACTAAAGCAAAGAAGAGTTTCCCATACTTTTGTATAAATAAGGGCAGGTGTGAATACTTATTTTAAAATTCTATGTGAAATCACATGTTTGTAGATGCTGCCACTAGAGACCACTGGGTGAAGGGTACAGTGGATCTCTGTGTATTATTTCTCACAACTGCATGTGACTCTACAATGATACCCAAATAAAATGTTAAACAAGAAAATGAGTTTGTAGCAGCCTAAGCAATCTTGGAAAATGGGTGAGCTGCTTGGCTAGTGGGCAGACAGTTCAGGGGCAGAGCTGCATTCTTTGACTATTCCTCTCTCTGATAAATGGAAAAATGAAACAAAGCCTCGCTCATCCCAGAGATCACCAGGAACATGGCGGATTGGTAGCTGAGTTGAAATTTCTGGCAAATTAGAGATAAATGGTGTTTTATCATTTGAAGTTCAATTTGATTACTAGCGAAATCAAACATCTCTTTTCTTGTAAAATCTTTTGCCCATTTTTGTATTGAGGTTTATAGTGGGTTTATGGTGTCCCCCAGAAAGATATGTCCCATGCCTCCTAATCTATTATGTGCCGGGCACTCTTCAAGGAGCTGAAAATAAGAGATTAAACAAAACAAAGTCCCTGACTGCAGGGAGCTTTCTTTCTAGTGACCAGACAGATGACAAAACAAGTAAGTACATAGTTTCACATAGTGGTGAGCGCTGCAAATAAAAATAAAGTAGAGGAAAAGGTTAGAGCGGTGCCACCCACAGGACTTTCGGTGATGACGCAGATGTTCTATATCTGTCTGTCCAATAAAAGTAGGGCACAGGGATACATTTAAATAACCACACCTGGCCAGCAGCTACCACAGTGGGCAGCGCAGGGTTAGAGTGCAGGAGGTGCTGCTACTCTAAGAGAAGTGGTCAAGGTGGGAGCCCTTGAGTAGAAGCCTGGCAAAGGCCATGCTGTTTCCTGGGGGCTCAGAGCTTTCCAGACACAGCACAGCAAGAACAAAGGCCTCAGGTGGAGAATGGCAAGGAAAACAGGTGGCTGAGCAGAGTCAGGGAGGGATGACAAGGGAAGTGGCTGGGGACAGATCTTAAAGGGCTTTGAGGGCCACAGGAAGGGCCTTGGGTTTTACTCTAAGTGGGACAGGTTTACAGTAAGGGATCTAGAAGAATGCAGCTCAATAAAACCCTATTTACCTGAACTTTGGAAATACCTCGTCTTTAACTCCCATTAGCTCTGCTCCTTCATATCCATTACAATCTTTATCCAACGACTACCATCTGATAACATGAGCGACTTCAAAATACAGGCAGCATGTATGACATGTCTTTAAATCCAGGTTTGAGAACGGAGGAGAGCTGGACAAAAGTTCCTCAAGCGATCAAGAGAAAAACGCAGCTCTGAGTTGCACCTGGTAGATGCTTAATAAGAGCTGTGATCACTGACCCTTCTCTGCATTCGCTCTCTCTCGCATCGGAGCAATTTCAAAATTAGACTAGTTTCAGTTTCTCTGCTTGCCCATCACTGGAAATCGAGGGAAAAGAAACGGACCCAGGCAATTTATAAATGAGATAGTTACATCTTACGCATTTTAAAGTTGGCTATGGAGCTGGTGACATATTGGTGTTGGGCAGTTACTTAGACTCAAAGATGGAACAATAAGAGAGCCATGTAATCCATACCCCATCCCAGGGGAACACACACAGGTTTGTTCCTAAATTTATACCGAAAAGCCACGACATCCCTTGCGCAAACAGGTGTCCTAGACACATTAAAATGACCTAAATGATTAGACATAAACAGTGATCTTGTTAGTGAGACACTGCCTGGGTTCTAATAATGCTTTTGCCACTTATTAGCTTTGCGACACGAGGCAAGGTTTTCGTGGGCTTCAATACTTAAACGCATTGTCTGTAAAAGGGGACATAAAGAGCTCTTGGGGGGATTAAATAAAATGACATCAAAAGGCAAAGCTTGGTACCTGGTGCCGAACTCAGTAAGTGCTAGTTGACTTGAAATTAAAGAAGAACAGAAGAATGTCCTTTATAAATATAATTCATCATCCGGCAGTGATGATGCCATTTCCTTTTGAAAAGCAAAATGACTATTAAATGTAGGCTGGCTGTGCTCTGCTCTGGCCAGGAGCACAGGCTGGGAGTCACGAGGCAGCAGCCTCTCCTTCAGAACAGACTAACCCTGGGTGTTGACGGCTGTGGCTGAGAGACACCCTGAGGTCTAGCTGTGAGGAAAGCACCACGACGCAAGCCTGTTTGTCCACTTGCCTTTCTGAGCAAGTCAAGCAATGTGATTAGCATCCTGGCAGAGTTTTAATGC